TATGAGCCATCCTTAAATAAAAAATTTACGAAAAATATTTAGCATGAAAATCATTGTGAATATTTAAAATTCTATATGTTCTTATTAGATGCAGGGGAGTCTATGTATTACATTTCAATACACTTAATACAATTTAACGCTGAGCTATCACAAATAAGCATTCAATATATCACCGTTTTTCTCATTTTTTTACACGATTTAGTTTAGATTTTTAATTATAAGTATCCCAGAAATACCCATTATACGTAACAAATATAAATTATTTTTACGAATAACAAAAAGAAAAAAAGGAATAATTGACACTTTATGTTCCTAATTTTAAAGCACAGTTCGCCTCAAAAAGTAAATTAGTGCAAATCAAATAACTCTTTAAACATAAAATGAAGTATATATTTTTTATTTACAAAATTGTGTGCGTGCTTATTTAAAGAAAAGGCTCTGTACTATACTTCTAAGAACCAGCTCAAAACTAACCAAATTATTTCTAGTTCGGAGGCACCTCTTTTTGAACTATCTAGGAACTGTTGTTATATGAACTGTCTCAGAGCCATCTAAGCCAGAGTCAGCTCAGAACAAGTTCAAAAGTTCTGCAGAGGGCGACAATTGTCACTTCGTAGGACATCGCCATGTTAAAAAAGACAGTTGAAAGCATTGAGTTGAGATAGATGAAGAACCAGTACCGACCCTTTTCAGACTAGCTCAGCTCAAGTTCTGAACCAGTTTGATTTGCTGCAGGGTAGATATGCAAAACGTGATGTCAACATTTGTGTACATGTGATCTTCCGTCTTCCTCCGACTTATGGCCTTATTTAGTGGTCTCTTTTTAACCAACGCAAAATTTGCAAATGTCTAGTAAGATAAATGAGAATGTGTTAGATTCCATCACACAATTCTTGTAGGGGTTTTTATACCCTCCAGTACTGCTGGAGTCAATCGCTACTTTTGAACCGCTACCGCACCGACTCCTATGTATGTAAGTAGCTACTCTATTAACCCGTGGTGCACATGGTAGTGCAGAATCGAACCTGTCGGAAACAGAATAGCGAAAAACTACGACAGAGGGCCCCATAAATCACGCAAGTGACTACTTTAGTAACTCCCTGTAGTGCAGAGAGAGCCGATGCTGACTACCGCCTAGGACATTGCCTTGTAAAAGTAATCGCTGAAATACACTGCAAGTAGTCGGTCGGTAATTGACGGAGTTTATCAGGTAGCTACCGATTCATCAGTCCTGTAGTCGCTCCCCCGTACTGCAGGGATTCAATGGTCGGCATACTAGCACATTCAAACGATTGAATAAGTGGGACTGTGTGCATTGCTCAGCTGGCGCTCTTCGTATGTGAAACACATACGGTTGCCAGACGTACTGATTTTATCAGTACAGTACTGATTTTTCAACTCTTGTACTGATTTTATTAATTTCTTCAATCAGTACGCTAATGTCCTGATTTTTCAAAATTTGTACTGATTTGTACTGAATTTTCAATTCAAACCAAATACTTTAGGATTTTATTAAGGTGTTTACATAACGTTGGAACTTCCTTAAACTGTACTGTAAAACGTAAGAAGATAAATATCTTTAGTTGTCGAAACTAATTCTTTTTCTCAGTGTACCGCAAAAGACTTTATCCTTATTTAATACAGAGAAATCGAAGAAAACATGATGCACATATAATTCTTTTACTAAGTAATAATTTCTTATATTTAATTTCGTGATATGTATGTAATTCCGGATTTGGAAAAATCTATTGCTGATCTTTTCAAATACAATTACGTTGTGAAGCGACCCCAATGATTATTGATGTACTTTGGGTCTCAGTTCCAGGCCAAGGTTTACACGAATTTGAGCGTTTATTACGACATTATTAACCAACTGTTTCTATTTTCTTATTGCAGTGCCTTCTTCACCTCCAGAGAGTCCACAATGTGACGTGCTGGGCTCCACATCAATTTATATAACATGGTCACCTCCAGATGTAGACGGACAGAATGGCAAAATCAAGGGTTACAAAGTATTTTACATATCTGTTAATGAATTATACGGTAAGATAGTCAAAAATTATTTAATCCCAGGTGGATCGATATTACTTATGTATGCATGTTCATTGAGGGTAAGAGTCCAGGGCCAGACCCTTTTTTTTCCGAAGTTACAAAATTAAGGAAATAAGTAGTGTTATATGTATTTAAAAGGTAGCTGGCCCTTTTACAGTTAACGGCTGGAAAGGTACGTAAAATCGTCAATTACCTTTGTTAAAATTGAAGTGCTGGTTAGTTATTGTTTTCCTATTAAGTTTAATCAAACACGTTGATACATGGCGTATAAGTAACATAATTTCCTGCTCATATCTATGTATAAACTAGGGATGTGGCGAATGTGGAATGTCAAATATATTAAGAAATAATTTAGGTAAGTAAATTAGGTGATTTAGGTAAAAAAATGAAAGTCTGTACACCCAGAAAAAGGTTTGGTTATAATTACCAAGATTTGGTTATAGTGACCGAGTGGCATAGTTAGATATGGCGAAATTAATATCTAGTTCACGAAAGTTTGCAATTTACTTGAGACTTCTAGTTGTGACAAATGTATATTGGTTAATATTTACAAAACGACTACCTTGATTGGACAATATTGTTAGTTGAATAAAATCATTGTTGAGCAAATATAAAAAATGCTTTAGTTGATATAATTTTTCAATTAATTTTGTGAACTTGCTGAAGACTTGAATCAGCTAACCGTTTATTATTGGAAACAAGTTTCAGTTTGACACAAGTAAAAATTTACCCTATTGTTGTTGAGTTTACTTTCTTCGTTTATTTGCATATGTATATTAAGCATAAAAAATATATACATATTTACATAAATAGTTACTAGTGTAAATAATACATATGCATATGGTGGTAAGAATTTCCTAAAAAGAAACGATGAAACAGGAACAGTCGTGCGAACACCCAGGTCAATATCGGCTGGAAGCGCTGGTTTAAGTATACTGCTTTGCTTTTTCCTGGCTAAATAGACACTTTCAAATTATAATTCACATGAATTATATATCCATTGAGAAACCCCGGTTGGCATCAAACTTTATATTTTTAAATAACTATGGGCGCCAGAGCTGGAGAAACATCGATGCAACGATGTTTTTATATGAGCTGCTAACATCGATGTTTTTTTCTCAACATCGATGTTTTAGCAAATTGCAAACCTACATTTATTTGGCGCGTAAAAAGATAAAATAATTATTCTTAAGTCCGAAAAAATCTAAATAATATTTTAAGTACTTTAAAAACATGAGGTAATTTTTACATGAATCTATAATTAAAGGTTTGCTCACTAGTAACATTAGTTTTGACACTCCCTTATAAAAGGTTGCACACACACACACGGTGCCTTGCTAAAGAAGCCGATTTTTTCAAGAGGGAGCGAAGAAACTGTTTTCTGAGCAAGCCTTTTATTATTGAATCATGCCTCATTTACACATAAGAAATTTTTGATATCCAGCCCTTGAAGGGACAAAAGCATTATAATTTATAATATTTAAGTTAAAAAAAAAAAAAACTAAACTCTATATTTTAATAGGCATTTTTTATATAATAGAATCTATTCCCAAGCGAGAATTTACGAAGTGAAAGGCTAAATAGCCTAATTCTCAATTTTTGAAAAAATATCGATGTTTCATCGATGTTTTTTTTTCAAACATCGAAAACATCGATGCTGCCAAAACATCGATGTTTCTCCAGCTCTAATGCGCGCACCGAAACAACTCCCGGCGATAGCAAAACTGAAACTGAGACAAACAAGTCTGGGCATGTCATAGCACACACTTTTCTTTCTCTACCTAGCGCAGTGATCAACATGCCATGGGTTACTGAGCGCTCTGTGACCACATGCGTGTTTCACACGATTGAGATATAGATATAGATATAGATAGAGATTGCGCCCATCACGGTACCGCTAATCCGCTTTTTGTGATTTTGACAGAATCAGCTGTGTGCGTGACGTCATCTTAGTGCAATTGTTGATTGTGAGCATGGGTGTCGCCAGGATCGAGTTTAAGGGGGGCGGCCGACATATAAAAAAATACCAAAACTTTCATCTTTACACATTCATGTTTCTGGCATGCTGAGGACGATATGTACTTGCCGATTTGTTTTACAAAAATTATTTATGGCTATTTGACAGTTCAACAACCAGGAAGCGGCTGCAAACAAGCTGTGCGAGTAAAATTAAATTATTAAAATAAAGAGTTTTAAAGAAAAGACAGAAATAAAGCTAAATTTATCACAATTATTTGTTTAGGAGGAAGAGAAATGCATGAACGCGTCCTCAATCAGGCGACACTTAAAGGATAATTCCAATCCTCTAGCGCTACCGCGTGTACTGTAAGCAAAAGTTAATGGTTTCTTTTGTTATCGTTTTGTGTTCATTTTCAAAGCATATTGAGGACTTTCAAAAGAAGCTGTAGTATAATTGGTTAATAAACAGATGAACCACTTCGTTCAACTTCAATACCTCCGCTCATAAAAGCTTGCGCACATCTTCGATTTTTCGCAGAAGGAACTGCCACAGCAATGACTTTAATTTGGAAAACTGGGTAGTTTTAAAAGAGGTGCTTCAATTGATAAAGGAAAAAAATTGCAATCAGTGTTCGCTTTTGTTTCGCCAAAAAGGCGTTGTCCACGGGAACTAAAATTTCAAGATATTGGTTTGTTATTTTCACCATATTCTGTAAAAGCAAACTGCATTGCAAAATGTTAATATCGTTCAAATTATTAAATATATGACACACTTTTCAATTTTCGCTCCTAAATACGCTCCAAAAACATTCCCAGCAACCACTAAAATGTAGTCGCCTGTATACACATTATGTAGCAACTGCAGTTGTCAGTTGAAAGTTGCCAGTTGCCATCTGTAATATCGTTTTGGCAACTAGCAACGCAACTGAAGTTCGATTGCTATCGATAATCTACCCGTTAAAAAGCAGACGTCTCGGTTGCCCAGCAAACCGGTTACTCGTTTCTGCAATTATTTCACATTGATTCTCTAAAACAAATTTTCGATGTATTCATAAAATGCATAAACCTAAAGGTAAATTTTATAGGAAATTAAACTAACAATTAATTAAAACTAGTAGTAACCCCCGAAATACGAAATCTTAGCTCAAAATTTATTTAAAGAACTTCGTGAAATTAATCTTGTATTGCTAGACACGTGATAACCCAGGATAATTTTTAAGTTCTTAAGGGCCAAATTCACAGTGCGTAGTTAACCACTGATAAGAGTTTAACTATTGATTTTCATATTTACAACGCTCAGTTAACAAAAGTTTAAACCAGCATGCCCTCATAGTTAAGCTCTTGTGAATTTAATTTTTTTTTGTGGAACGAATTTCAAATTTGATTAGAAAAGTATTGATTTTTAGAATTTGCATATTTTCAGGCGATACGAATTTCCATAGTTAACTATGTGACTCTGAATATAAATTCATAGTTAAGCTCTTGTTGGTGCTTAAGTTAACAATGATTTAACTAAGCACTGTGAATTCGGCCCTAAAAGACATTACTCTACTCTAAGCTTCGTGCAGTGGGCCATGAGAAAACCGTCATATTTAAGGTAAGTCCAATCTCTCACAATATCTGGTATTATTCTTAATCTGAAACGCAATAATCATTGAAAATTGAAGCCATTTATGGTGAAAAGCATTTAATATCACACTTTCAAACTAAAGCTTTCTTAGCCCTAGGAGCCTAATCTATTTGGGAGTAACGTAAAGCCTTAACATACGCCGAAGAGGCTTATGTACTTAAAAAATAACCTGTGAGCTAAAATATACTTAGTCCTGTCTTATTTTTTTAAAGAATATTGAAGTTGTGAGTTTGACTAATAATAAAACGTAGTTTTATTAATAAAAACTATAACCACATTTGTTTAAAACAACAAAATAAAAAGTAAATTTTGTGTTAAAATTAAAAAAAATACCCAATTAAGAGAAAAGACCCCTTTCAGTACAAAAATTCAACCACTGGTTATAAAAAATTTTAAATATGTATGCCGGTTAATTTTGGATCGCTCGTTTTAAAAATCACATACAAAAATGTGAATTTGAGTTTTGCGGTCATTCAGGGTCCTTTTTAATGGTCAGTGATATCCTAGGTGTTTAAAAAAGAAAGGCATCTCAGCTATTTTTATTTTTTGCTTTCGTGAAATAGATTTCAAAACTATGAATAATACCTAATAACTTTTCTGAATCTCAATTCCACGGAAATATGGTTACTATTTTTCAATAGATTATATTACTCACTATCGACTTTTCTGCCGCTTTTTACTTTTTTGACAAACACGGTCAACTGCAACTACAGCTTGCACTTTAGTTTGATATACAGGGTGTCCCAGAAGTAACGTGCCAAACTTTAGGGCAAGGTAGGTGGGGGGGTGAGCTCACTGATAAACAAAAAATTTTCAGGTAAAAGTGTC